AAGATGGTGTTCGTCTTGTGATGCGTGTTTTTCGGGCAAAAAGACCCCGTTCGCGGGGCCTGGCCCGATCCACGGACCCCCAAGAACAACCAAAAAGGACCCGGTGCGTTGCAGCCGAATCTTCGCCTTGAACCTCAAAATCGACGACGCACGTCAGTGCTGCTGCAGGTGGCGAAGACGGGCGCAGCATAAGCGGGCCTCTTTGTCAGCATATTTGAAGACTTGGAAGACCTCAGAGCGCCACATCCATCGCAAGGCCCGGGAGGATGGATGGCACTCGTCACATACGGAGGGATGGGCTTCTTCTGATCGGGGTGGTATCTGTGGAGGCCAATGGATTGTAGCCCTCTCTCGCCTATTCAAAGGGACATTGAAACCTGCATCAGCGGGTGAAGTGTCCGAATTGAAGACACAGCAGTGACACAAGCATGGAGGAAGCGAAACATGAAAACAGCAGCTATCAGTCTCGAAAAAGAAAAGGCAATCCAAGACTTCTGGTAAATGATTGACGTGCTCGGAGACCAAATTGTTTCGATAGATGATGATTCATAGCTATCTGTGGCTGTGACCGATGTGTGGAAGTTCTTTGCATGATTTAATGGACTCATTTCTTGGTCAAGATGAACCATGCTGAAATTGTCACAGTCTAGAGTCTAAAGTCATGAGTTTGCCAGCGGCTCGAGTGGTCAAAAGGTGCAACCTTAAGACAAGAACTTTGATGCGAGGTTATGTGAAACTGTGAATGAATTGGCCCTGGCAGTGGAGCTATGGTGACAGAGGAGCTAAACTAGAACCAAACACGCAGACAGTGAACTTGTGCACTGTGGAAGCCATTGTGGGAGTGAAGTTGTGACTGACCTATATAATAGCTTCTTTGAGAGGCCCTGCTTGGTGTGTGCGGCTGGCCCGAAGCTTGCAACGCGCCTGGCAGAAGGGCGGAGGAGTCTCTTCCAGCAAGAGGTGTGCGGCGTGGGAGGCAAAGGACGATCCGAGCGCAGAGCAAATGTTTTTACTCCCTCCAACAAACGAAGCCCCTGTGTTTCCATTTCCATGACTGTTAGAGGAAGGGTATGTTCTGTTCTTTCAAGCTGAGAAGAAAGCCCATGGTTTCGTCCACAGAAAAGCAATACAAAACATATACCAGTCAAAGTCCACAAAGGTAAGGAGTCCCTGTCCAGAGTAGGGTCAATGCCGCTAGAATCAGTTGCTTGCACGTCAGAACCAACAGATACCAACATCATAGACTGATCGTAGATGAACGTTCGTGCACACTTCTTTATATGTGACATGTGACATGTGTCGGTTCTACATGTACACATATTTATAGATAGGGCTCCTCTAAAGAACGAAGCAGCGGTCTCCCAGACTTCAGCACATCTCCAGCCGTTGCGAGCTGCGAAGCCTGTCTGGCTGTCGCTGAACCCGCCTCCTCGATCAGGCTGCAGAAGGCATTGAAGCCAAAAGTGTTCTCCTGGCACCCCAAAACTAACTCCCATCCTGAGAAAATTGGTCACAGAGTAGATGGCACTGGCACCCCAAGGTCTCTTTTAGATGGGGGTCCATATAAACCACCTTTGGGGGATTGCGCCATCTACTCTCAGCCCACTATACAAGTTGTGCGTCATTGTTTCCCTCATTCCGAAAAAAACAACTTACTAAGCACCAGTCAGGGCAATACCGGACACCAACGCCACTTTCACGCGCACACACACACATTCACCTCTTTGAAACCAGGAGAGAGAATTCCCCCCTCGCCCTCTTCCCGAAATAGTGGTGAACCCTGTGACGTGGAGCAAAAATCAGCCCTAGGACGTCTGGAGACATGCCGATCGCGACACGACACCCCCGAAAGGACCGTGCCGTGCTTTTTCATCAGCGAAACGTGCCGACAAAAATGCCCAAGACATCCAGCTACGCCCGAATGGATCCAATTGGATGGTTACAGTGGACAGTGGACTGTTGATATGTCAACCCTCCATGTGAAGAGCCTTCACAATCCAAATCAAAGGCTGTTACTTCATCAAGCACAATCTTCCGCAGCTTCGTCTTCTTCGTCAAGCCAAAGCCATCTGTTCCCTCCAAAATCATGCACCGACACGTTCAACTGGCTTTTACATTGTTTACTAGTTCTGGACTATGGCTCATCCGCTGGGAGACTGCATCCGTGCGATGGAAACGGCAGGCGATGGAAACAACAGTCCATCCGACCTCGTTCTCAGTCCTGAGCGCAGGTGAGATGTTCACAAGATTCATGCTAATGGTTTTTGATGGATGCTCGGATAAACTAATATATAGATATGATCTAATCATTGATGACTAAATATGATTCATTGATATATGATGCTTTTCTGAAACCTAGTAGGATACCAAATAAATCAAGTCAAATTAAGATACATGTGTGTATAACAATTCCTTCAAAATCAAACGATTCATATCGATTCATCTAAGAGTAGACGTTAATAGACGTTATCCTAATTTGACTTTTATATGCATCGTTTTGAAATGGCATGCCGTACAAGTGGCACCCCCAGTTTGGCCATGGTGATCTGGTGGCTCTGAAAGAAAATCAGCGCTACTAGTAGGTCCAAGGGGCCGTCGTATGTGCTGCGTAAGTTCCTGCTGACTTTAAAGCTAAAGACACTGAATGGTCTGCAGAACGGTCAAAAGACCTATTCTGACTTTGGCTCATGCGCTTCTCAACTTGAGAGAAGCTCCAGCTAACCACACTACCCCGCTACCCCCGCCCTTTTTGTGGCGAGACGGGGAGAGCGTTTTCCTTAGACGTCTCGCTTCGACCCCCACTGATTTCAGAGGGTCGTCCTCTCCGGTGGATTTTTCCTCCCGGGGGCCCTCTCCGCTCCACACCGGCCACTGCTGTCGCGGGAAGACGAGGAAGACGACGGGACGTCCATCGACGGGACTGGCGGCCCAGTGGCAGCACCGTGTTCAAGGCGATCTTCTCCGTCCGGCTCTGAGCCTGTCTCGCGGCATCCGCCCGGCGAGTTCCGCGCAGAGATCGCGTTCGGTCCGCAAGTTACGCACTGTTGAAGCAGCTGTGCAGTTATTGAAGATGCAAAAGAGATGGGTCCAAGTAGAGATACTCCCAGTGTGAACAAAATATATAGTCTAAGAGTCCTTGTATGTCCTTATGAGTCCTTATGACATCTGGTGACCAATGCATCCAGTGGCACCATATCCTATTGAGGATTATTGAGGCATATTGAGGCTTATAACGCTACAAGAGCCCATCAAGCGTCGGACGACCATCATGACCATCACTTCATCACTTTCAACCGTCACCCCTCACCCCATTCAAGTCGACCTTGAAAAGCAGCATATGCCACGAGTCCCGGCTCGCTCCCGGCGCCCCAGTAGTGGGCGCGCCACTACTGCACGCACCGATATTCGCCTTCATTGACACCCCTGTTTTCTCTTAAGGGATCCATTTCTGGGACCACGCTGGTTTAAAAGCAACAAAAGCACATCCCACCAGCATCCCCAGCGGCGGGGCGACCAGCGTGTACAAAAGAAAGGCGGCCATGTTGGAACACCGAAGTCGGCGCCTTGAGACCGAAGTCGGCGAGCGCCTCCAAGATCTTCTCGTTGCTCCTGGCGCTTGTCACGTGCACCGCTTTTCACGTGTCGGAGCGGACCGGTTGCTGGAGCTGGGTGAGAAAGATGGAGCTGGGTTGGGTTGCTGCCGGGTTGGTTCTAAACAGGTCGCATGGATGTGAAGCATCCCCAGGGGGTGTTTTGGCAAAGGAACAGCAAACATGACATTGAGCTGATGGCATGTGGACTAAATCTCCACAAGGGGGTTTGATCAAAATATGGACGCTCCAAGCGCATCTCACCGCAATTCCCCCCGAAACTGTTGACACTGGTGAACCATGGTGAACCCTTCCTTCAACATGGAAGCAGCTTCCTTGCACCCCCTCGATCTGTCAACCCCTCCAACCTCTGATGCCCAAGGTCCAGGCCAAGGATTCCCATTCTTCGTGGGAAAGTAGCGGAGGAAGCTCTCCTCTTCCCAGGCGCCATCGACGCTTCACGCCCCGGAGCTACACACCCCTGCGACACGTCCGACCATGTCAAAACACCATGAACATATATGAGCGATGGAATCTATTTCCGTTAAACTATCACATGGACCTTCCTTACCTCGTTCTCCAATCCCGCATCGTTTTTGGTGTGTGATCTCGTTCTCCATTCCTGTATCTCGTTTTGGTGTGTGGATACCCATCTCGTTCTCGAGAGGTGTTCCTACCTCGTTTCACAAGCTAAACATGTCACTCTATAGTATTCTATAGTCTATAGATCTCTATAGAAGCTCTACAGAATATATAATCCTGCAAGACCGAAAAATGGTCACCTCATGCCTGCGGTGAAATGTCCTCCATGCGAGGCGTCTTGCCCAACATCGGACGAACACCCATTAAACATATACATCGGCGATCATCGGGTCCTTAGGCCTTTAGGCCTTGCTTCCTCAGCTTTTCGACCCTTGAAATAACACCGCCGGCCAACCGCACCTGTGCCACTTCCGCTTCGTAGCGGTTGACCTTGGTCGATGGGTTCGGCCAGGGAGGCTCAACAGAGATGCAGATTAGACTAAGACTATAAGAGTTCATGGCCACTTTCATGAACCCCCCAAAGATTCTAAAAGGCAACACATTGCAGCAAGCAAAATCTTCGAACTCCTGCTCAAGGCTTTGAATTTGGGACGAAGGACTCCTGCTCACCTGCCTTTTTGAGAGCGATACCCCTTTTGGGGAGGGTGCTTTGTCCACTCCTTCATGGACCATGTGAGAGCCACCTGCTGGTCGGTCGGACGCCAACTCGGGAGCACAACTTGTAGGTCACCAAAAGCACGGTGCAACTGCTTCCGGACCACCCACTCTGGGTGGTTTTTCAGACCCCCTGACAGACCATGTATTCTCCGTCACCCAGTGTTCCAAGTACAATTGATGATCACCCCAAGTTCTCACCCCTGATCGTTCTCACTCAAAGTGTCGCTGGTAAATCACCACGTACTCGGGATAGATCTGTGCCTCATCCCAAACCACGAATTCTCGATAGGTGCCAATGGCCGCTTCTCGATCCCCCAGGATGCTATCAAAGCTGTGTGTCTCCAAAGCTTCTTGGATTCTGCGAAGGTTTGACTCCGTGATATAGAAGACGTTGCCCAAGAGCGTGCGACAAAGCAAAAGGGCCAGCTTTCCCCCAAACAAACCGCTGGGATCTTCCGTGGCATACTCATCACTTTTGCTGGATGCTTCAGCCAAGTATGCACCAGCGCCAAACATGGAGCCCGTGCTTGAACCAGCACGACTGATGTCGAAACCATTTTCGCCAATGCCCAGAGCCCCACCGGGAGAGGAACCATGGAATAGAAAGGCTTCATTCAGCTCCTAGTTGGCTTCAACGATCCCCAGAAATCACTCTACAAACAATTGGACCCTCATATCTACGCATAACTTTCCCATGAGAAACAACAAATAATATCGAAACTTATAACAAAAAAGAAACATCCAGGCTTTACCCGAAGAAAAAAAACATATGTTCCCAAACCACCAATGAGGCGCCCGAGTGATCTCCTTCAAAAACGCCGGCAGCTCCGGTCCCGCCGCGAAAGCCGGCAGCTCCAACGCCGTCTTCACGGCACCACTGCCCGGGAGCTCGCTGATCAGCGGCGGACGCCCCACACGAGCGGCCAGGTCCTCGGTGGAGAGCGAAAAGGCACATAGGTGACACATGCTCCAGGACATGGTGGGAGAAGGGGAACGTTGATATTCGAACGCCACACTCCATGTGTGGCATATATGCCGATCAGTTGGGGTGGTTGAAAGGGGGGTTCGTAGGAGTCGGAGTGTGGATATGGCTAAGGTTCTTTTTTCTTCCTCTCGAAACGTTGCCAGAGTCTGCTGTGTTCCATCCGGATCACCTGCGACACCAGCAGTCTTGAAGGTAGACGATCTTTTCGATCTCGAGTGCCTTTGTGCTGAAAGGTCTGGTCCAGGAGCTCTTGCACTTTTTGGCAGTCACCAGGTGATAAGTTGATCTTCTCATCAAATCCCTGGCTCAAATCTCGATTCTTCCAATACCAGGGCACACCTGCAAAGAACGAAATCAAGTACAAGATCCCACTCATCAACAGTCGACAGCCCACTTTGACCATTTCCAGATCTTAATTGGAAACAAATGGTCAAGCATCACTCAGAGCATCTTGGATTTGCCCGCCCATCCCGAACCCACCTGAAGCCACATCGGCCTCCGTCTCCACCCTCTCCACAGTGAGCGACGTGGGACCTGCGAATGCCCCGGTGCTCGCGAGACCCGGTGTGGATGCTCCAGCTCCCCCTTCGTCAAGCTCAGCTCGCACGGCCCGATACGCTTGCGAGGCGAAATCCCTCCGAAGGGCTCGTCGATGTTGAGGTGGGGCAGTCCACAGGGTGATCGGGCGGTGGGAGATGTGCTTCAGCACCTCCCAAGTGATCTTCTGGCATTCGCGGAAGAAGATGCACCTTAGTCGTCTGTTATTCTTCCAATGGTTTATCACAGGTTGAGACTGGCAACTGGTTGGCAGGGACCTTTGGGAAAATCAAGATAGACCGATAGACCCTCAAAATTGGGATCCCCCATAGGATCGACCTACTCTTTATACAGTATATCCAAAGGTAACCGGATGTAACCGGTCTTTTTTGAGGGCGCTAACCAGGGTGATGCATCTCATCTTCTGACACAGGGTGATGCTTGGCACCTGTATGGCAAGCTCAAGAGGAAGAAGGTCGCAAGCACATAGACCCTAAAATGCATCCACCATGGCCTCTCATCACTGTTGTCTGTGCCTCAGAATCAGCCCCACCAAGCTCCAAACCCCTAAGGGCTCATCTGGACTAGAAACAAGTACTTGCTTAGATGCAGAACAGGAACAAAAACACCGGGAAACCCAAGCACATGAGACGATGATTCTTCAGGGTTGGTTTTGGAACCGAGATTCCTTCCTTTAGAATCACCATCACATGACTTTGGTAGTCGCAGCGAATGAGATTCACCTCGCTCTTCTCCTGGGATAGGGGTGCATTTGACGGACCAAACAAGAAAACAAGCTTCCCTTTTACACCCTACAACTGCATCTGTTGATTGTCCAGGACAATTCCATGATCCCTGCAGGAAGGTCCGAGAAAGAACAGTCCAGGTCTCCTGATTTGTATCACAGGTATTCTTTCGATAAAACTCCTCTTGCAGGCGTTTCATGCGGAGCTCTTCTTCCTGGTCCACTGGGCGATAATCCAGCGGCATCTCGCAGAGTAAGAACAACGACCTGGATTTGCTCCAGGAACCAGGAAAAAAACACCCGAAAACTCACCTAGACCCTGAGAATGGGACCCTGAAAGACTGATTTCCTCTACCAACCAATGATTTTCAGGGTTCATGTTAGTTTTCCACGGGGTATTCCCCAAAGGGGATTGACACACTGTGTGGGAAACAGAAACATCTACCCGCCCAAACCCGCCCAAACCAGGACCTGCTTGGTTTTGACCAACGGGGTGACCGTTGAGGGCTCAGAAGGCTTTCGTGCTCATCCTGGGCATCATAGAGTAAGTGAAACATCGCCAACATCTGTAAGGGCGACAAAGTCTCATCAAGGAAGCCCTGGATATCATAGAAGCTTTCAGCGTAATGCGTGTTCACACGTTTTCGCTCAGTGCGTTCCTTGCCATTCTTGTCTTTGGTCTTCTTCTCCTCGTAATGCCAATTCTGAATAGCCCACTTGATTTGTGGCTCGGCCCGTTGTAAGGTTGAAATGTGCTGCTGGAAGGCTTTTTCCGTCAGGATCCAAGACAGATACTTGGATGTCTTGTCAAAGCAAGTGGCTTCGATCAAGTGAAAGACATATAAAACCAGGCCCCCTATCAACCAAAACCATTTCCAACTCGCATGCGAAATACTTGCCCAAACTCCGACCATGAGCATTGCGAAACCCATGATTCCAGCAATCGCACTGAAGATTGTTAAGAAAGTAAGTGATTCTCGTTTCACTTCTTCCATGGCAGCGAAAGTGAGTGAGTCTCAGGCAGTTGCCACTTGCTTCACCGGTGTTCCCAACGAGAAGCAAAGAAACTCTGGAGCCAACTCGGCGTTTGCTGCCAAACAGTGTGGTTGGATATCACTCACCATTTCACACCAGACGACAAGGAAGCAGCAAGCATGTCGAAACATGTCGAATCTGGCTAAACCACCTCTTTCATGATGTTGTCATCAGATCCTGAAGAGGAAAGCTGAGGTACATAGGCAGGAAACCACCCCCAAAGTTCCCAAAGGACCCAAATCCTCTGGGTGCCTCTGCGTGCGACCGCAGGGAAGAAGCGACCGGCTTTTGTCACGCCGCAGCTGCCCCAAATCGGAGTTGTTCAGGCTCCGTCTCTCAAAACTGGCTGGATGGGGAAACAGGAAGTGAATTGGCTGGTTCTTGGGGGTTCCAGAAAACCACTTGTCACTTGTTGAACTCAAACGACTGGGTCCACAATCCACCGTGGTGCTGAAGCACCGTCCCTTCGTCTTCATGCCCAATGATTGCATCGGATGTTCTGACCACGTCGGTACGAGCGGAGCGAAGGGTCCCGACACCCGGTAGGTCAACCAGTTGACCTTCCTGGTGCCAGTCTCCCCTCCGCACAGCGTCGCTGGAAGGGTGCAGGTAGGTCAACCGCCCAAATGCACTCCCCCCTTCGAAAGTTCTAAAGTCAAGTCTTCATTCTTCCTTTCCCCATTTCAATGTAAAGCAAATAATTACCTGGTTAGCTGTTACACATCTTCAATTATTCTACAATTTAATATAGTTATAAGCAATTGTCCTGTACCCAGATCAGGTCGTGAGGATTCCTCTTCTTAGGCCGTTCTGAACTGATCTCTGCCTGGCCGCCGAGCCCGATCTCTGTAGCCGGTCAGCACGTCCTCCGACTGGTCCTTCATCCTGGCGCTGCGTCACGCGGGCGCCACGCGCCGCGCGCGTTGTCGGCGGCCGGGTCAGGTCGGACGCGAAGCGGCCCCTCTCGGTGAGGTTTCTTGGTCCAAGAACCGCGAACGCGCGGAGGGTGCTTCCTTCGGCTGGCCCTGTGCCCAAGCATGCTTCACTTGGTCTTCCTACCTAGGATCGCTCCGGAATGCTGTTGCCAGTTGATAAGACTGTCTACGGTTGTTGTACTTGTTCAGGTCTAAGGCAAGAACGCAAGAACGCGATTGGAGATGAACCCGAAATCGAAGGGGATGGCAATTGGAGATGTGGACTGCTGTCGCTCTCGCCACCTGTGCTGTTCTTGAAGACTCCTACACCTACCTCGACTCGTGACTCCTCTGTGTGGGCTGTAGAGGCCCATATACTGGGAGTGTGCTTCCTTGGTGAAAGAGATGGAAAGAGGATCCTTATTTGGCCCGTGGATCTTTTGAGGTGTCCCAAAATGGAGGAAATCCTCTGTTAGTTTTGTTCTATAGGCAAGAACGAAGCCATGGCTTGGGGTCCCCTTGTGTTCGAAGGAGGCATCTGTAAGATGAAAGGAGGCGGCAAAAGAAACGCCGCTGGCAGTGTAGCAACACCTGCTTGCAAAACGCCCACCAACAGGTCTGCCTTTTTTCGCCCCTTCGCATGCGCAGCGATCTGCTTGCGTCCCGTCAAGCAAAGCGGATCTGCGATCCACATGCATCCACCAAGCGTCCACCACTTCACGATCCCAGCTTTCGAGAAGATCAAAACATCTGAAGCCCTATGGATCCACATACCAGGACCCTCCTGTTGGGGTGTGTAAATAGCCCCTGAGCTGTGATTCGGGGTGTCCATTAACCACCCATTGGGGGTCCTGGTACTTTCTGAGAAGGTGATTGGAGACTATTGATGTGGGGCGCCAGGAGGGAGGGCCCAGTCATACATGCCTTCTCAGAAGGTGCGTGGATCCCCAATCCACAGCAATCCAAAGAACCTGAGAAGACCCTCGAGTCGGAAAAAGAAGTGGGGGCACATCTCAGGACCTTTTATATGCCAAAGAAAAGGCCGTAGGTCCAAAAGCATGCTTTTGCGGGAGATGTGTCTGTTTACATGCCAAACATTTTGCCAAAAATGTATTATTTGTTGTTCTTGACCTGGACCCTGGGGCAACAGGACCTACACGCACCTAGACAGCACACTCTCCAGTTCAACCTTTGGCAAACGAGATCACAAACAAGTCTATGGCGGACATTTACGGAGGTAACTTGCGAACTGGAAATTTGAAGCATATTGGACACCTCACAAAAGCACTTCAACTTGACCAGGCTGTTTCTGTTGCAGCCCAAGACACCCGAGAAAACACTGAAAAAATCCGGTGTATTTGTGGTCCAAGTCTCTCAGGGGACGCCCCCAATCAGTCGCGTATGGCATGTTTCCGTCGCATGTGTCGTCCAGCATGGCATTGTTCCTGTGCGTTGAAATACCGCACCTTTTGGGGGAATAGGGTGGTCCAGGTGGGGTGTCGTTGGCGAACAGGGTAGACTCGCTGGTCGAATAGGGTAGACTCGATGGTCCAGAACCGAACACCGGGGCGGTCGGAAAGCTCGGTCTCCCTATTGGAGCCAAGGTACGGTACCCATTTGGAACGTTGGGAATGGCCGGACGTCAGGGTGGGCGGTCTTTTTGCGGGCCTTTTGCGCACACGATCGCGTTCTCACACTCCTCCTCGCTGCCAAGCAGCAGGGATTCATGTTGAGGTATGGGCAAACCTTCTGGGTCACATGTTGTTCTCTGCAACTCCACAGCAAATTTGATGGTTTTGATGGTTTTGTGCTCATCATCGCCCCTCAGAACCACTAGTGTCAAGAGTGTCTGACGAACATACCTCACTCCCTCCGCGTGTCGCACGCATCCCACATGCCACATGAAGGTCTGAAGATATCCAAAGATTGTCAGAAGTTGAATTCGAAGCTCCCATCCGCCAGGCGTTGCACCTGCCGCAAAAAAAATACTAAGGACTGTGGCGTATGACGAGACTGAGACATCGTGGCGTTTTTTTTCCCCAAAACGGACGCGAGGAGACCGAAAAGCTTTCAGCCTCCGAACCGTGATCCAGGTCTGTCGGTGTCGGAGATCCATTTCACTGGGAATGGACCCAAGACACTCCAGACTCCAAACGGTCGATCTATGCCGCTTCCTGTCTGGGCCCCGACTGAAGTACGGGGGCCCCCCCAATTAGTAGGATCAAGGCTACCAGATCCGGAGTGAGTGGAGGAGATCACTATGGCGTCATGCCGAGTCATGCCCATGCAGTTCTATCTCCACAGTTCACCCGGCTCATTGCTGGGTCTTGTGTGGTTTCCTATAGAACACCCAGTGGATCTCAAGGGATTGGTCCCAATGTGGGATGAAAGGCATCGGTCTCTAAATGTCTTTTTGCCGTCCCAGACGAGTCTTTCCAAAGAATGCAACATCCAAGCACAAGCTGATGTCACAAGTCCAGCTGTTGCGACCAGACCTCCGACTCAAGCCTAATGTCTAATTAAAAAACTGGTCTTTCGGTGACCTCAAAGGGAAACGTCCTTTACTATCTTTACTCCAATGGTGCATACAGGCATAGATCCAGTCTTTGGACTTTCTGAGATTCTAGGCTTGCCTTACTTCCACCGACCACCCTGCCACCCGTCCAACCACCCAGAAACATTCGCCCACCTACCCGCCCTACCAATCCCACAGCTCGACTCCGCCTCCTCCTCGGTGATGGTTCGCTCGCCTCGCGACTCGCAGCGGCGCGAAACCGGGCGGCGCCCGAAACCGGGCGGCGCCCGGTTGCGGCGCATGGTCGTAGGGGCGGCACAAGCAGGAACGGGTGAAGCCCAACAGTGGAAAACAACCATCTTTTTTTCAGTCCAGTGTACTAGTAGTCGACATATAGTAGACAACATATTAAGTATGTTGAAGTATTTGTCCAGCAGGCCGCCAGGCCGCCAGCTCACAGGCTGAAAAACATCTGAATACCGACTCTTGAGACACCCTGTGAGACACGGCGTGAGGAGGCGTACAGTACCGAAGGCAGGACCACACGACGAAGGCCCACGGGTCACGGCGCAGGCCGGCGGTTCACCCAAAAAAGAGAGGCACTGATCTACCCAAACACGAGGTCAATATGTCAGGTGATGTCATATGACAATCTGTAAGACTATGTCAATTTTAAATATGCATAATATGTATATACATATATATATATATGGCACCCCCCAAAAAAAACCTATGTTCACCTCACTTTTGCTGGTATTTGCAATATGTTGTGTCTATTTTTGGTTGCCTTTTGGTCCTTAGTTTTTTTGGGGGTACCATATTATATATATATAGTCACGGACAACCAGTAGGCAGAAAAAATCCTGCTTACCACAGCTGCTCGGGGCTGTTTTTTTGGGGGTTTTGAGCGGACCTATATGTAAGCCTAGATTTGGTCAGCCAGGCTCAAGGGGTAGTAAGCAGAAAATGTGTGTCTATCAAACATGTTGGGTGCTATCTTGTGAAAGCCTTTATCGAGATATGTATATATATACATACATATTCAAAGAAATGGGACAAGACTATGACGTCGGGATTAAATGATTTGAGGACACATTTTATTTTGTCTTTGATTCTAGCACCCGCCATGGGTGATCCCTCGGATCCTATACTACAAGCCCACCAGTGGGCACACTGCGCAGTTGCTCATGTAAACGGGACACATGAGCATCCCAATGTGCTTTTCTGGAACCAAAAGACGATTGGCTTTTCGAGCTCATTTTCTGGGATGGCTTTTCCACAAGACTTCTGTGCAAATCTTGGATCTTGGATCTTGGTATTGGGCAGGATGTTCCCAAATCCAAGATTTTCCACAAGACTTCTGTGCAAATCTTGGATCTTGGATCTTGGTTTTGGGCAGGAATGCATTCTCTGGCATTCTCTGGTAGCGACAAAATTGCACTAAGTACAGATTGATCCTGGAATATTACTGATTACCGACGTTTGTTCCTCATTCAATTCTAATTAACAACTAATTCAACTCTAATTTACTTCTATGAATTTTAGTGCACATACAATTTAACTAAATTCTAAGTCAATGCTTATTCCAATTTAAAATCACTTGTATTTCTATTTAAATTTCTAAGTTGAGTCTAATTGAAGTCTAATTGAACTTTAAATGGATTCTAATTTGAGTATGTAACATAGTTCTACTTTAAGCCTAAGTTGAGCCTAATTGAATTCTAATTTAAGTCTATTTAGCTTAACTTCATTGTGTAGACAAATTCTAATTCAGTTTTTATTCTAATTTACTCATTTCTATTTTAATTCTAATTATTTTTGGCTATTTTAGATCTAATGGAATTCAAACTTGAATCTAAATTTGAATCTGCAACGTGCTTCTAATTTAAATAGAAAATGATCCTAATTGAACTTTATATAATTGAAATCAAATTGAGATTGCAAATTAGATCTAGTTCAATTCTAATTGAACTTAGATTTCAATTTAGTTCTAAGTCAATACTGTTCTACTAACCAAGCTCTAGGTAAAACAACTCTAATTCAATTCTACCTTAGTTCTAAG